ATTGTCGATCCACTCTTGCGCACAAAGCTCCACAGGCAATTGTGGCAGGGATGGCTGCAGGTGATTCATATCAGGGCAATCTGTCCGAAGCCTAGATGTTATGAATACTGGAGCCAAAAAGCTATAAGTACTTTGCGCCGTCGTGCTTCTGCGGCGGTCCCAACTGCGCGCATAGCTTCTGCAAGGCGCCGCGGTTCTTGGCCTGCAGCTCGGCGCGCAGCCACGCCGCGCCTCCCTCGCGGTGTCCGTCTCGCAGGCGCTGCGCCTCTTGCTCCTGCTGACCCGCTGCCTCCGCGTTTCGCAGAACTGCGTCCTGCAGAGTGGCCATGGTCCGCGCGCCCCTTGACGAGAAGCTTAGGTGTGTTGAAACTTCTTGCAAGTACATTCTTCACTGCTCTTGCCTTGCTGCATGTTCCCGGCTACGGTCTGTGGAGACTTGTGCGATCTCACTTGGAAATTGCTGCGGTCTCTCTGCTTGAGCCACCGCGCACATCGCGCCACGGACTCGATACTCTAAGCTCAAAACAAAACACAACGAACACGAAACGAAACGTGCCTAAACCAAACTCAACGAACCTAAACGAAATGGACACTTCCATCCCAAGTGGTGTGTTGAAACTTCTTGCCAGTACATTCTTCATGCTCTTGCCTTGCTGTATGTTCCCGGCTACGGTCTGTGGAGAATTGCGCGATCTCATTTTGAAAATGCTGCGGTCTCTCTGCTTGAGCCGCCGCGTACATCCCGCCACAGCCTCGATACTCCAAGCTCAAAACAACGAACACGAAACGAAACGCGCCTAAGCCAAACTAAACGAAACGTAGGTAAGGCCAGGAGCCCCTAGTAGCGTCCTTGCTCCTAATAGTTCCTAAACGAAACGTAGGTTTCCTGCTATTAGCTTCAGGGCAGGAGCACCTAGTAGCGTCCTGGCTCCTAGTAGCGATGCCCTTTGTTACTGCTAGCTTCTTGTTACTAGTGGTGTGTTGAAACTTCTTGCCAGTACATTCTTCATTGCTCTTGCCTTGCTGTATATTCCCGGCTACGGTCTGTGGAGACTTGCGCGATCTCGTTTTGAAAATGCTGCGGTCTCTCTGCTTGAGCCGCCGCGTACATCCCGCCACAGCCTCGATACTCCAAGCTCAAAACAACGAACACGAAACGAAACGTGCCTAAGCCAAACTAAACGAAACGTAGGTAACGCCAGCCCCTAGTAGCGTCCTTGCTCCTAATAGTTTCGTCACGTAGGAAGTCTGAGTGGCGAGTTATCTGTTAATCCCGCCACAGCCTCGATACTCCAAGCTCATAACAACGAACACGAAACGAAATGTGCCTAAACCAAACGAAACGAAACGAAACGTAGGTTTCCTGCTAGTAGCTTAAGGGCAGGAGCACCTAGTAGCGTCCTGCCAGGATCTAGGTCATCGACATAGGTGTGTAGTTGCGTTATTCATGGAAACCCTCCACCAATGGGTCGTGGTCTATTGTCCTTCCAGGGGGTCTCACGGGGGTCTCCTGGATCCAGGATTCATCAACCGATTCTGACCCAAGTCTTTGGGCAACGGATTCGCCCCGACCGCGCCGAACGCAGACTCCATGACGCGTATTCGCACCGAGTGGAGTATTCGGCGATCTCAATGTCCTACGCGATGAAAAATGCTTTCGGGCCCTTAGTTTCATCACGTAGGAAGTCTGAGTGCGAGTTATCTGTTAGGTGTGCAGTGTGAAGTGTTAAGTCGAGTGAGTTGAGGTAGTGTGTGGGCCTCTGTGTGTGTATCTATGTCCGCGCGTATATGAGTCTCTGTCTATATGTGTGTGTGTGTGTCCGAGTAAGTTGCGGCAGTGCGTGGGTCTCTGTGCGTGATGTGTGTGTGTGAGTCCCTGTCTGTGTGTGTATGTCCATGTCTGCTGCTGGTGAAGGTCTTCAGTGTACATATACAGAACGACTTAGCGCGCAGGCCTCCCAAACCCCCCACCGGCGGCCAAGCGGTGACAGCCCAGCTCATCGTCGCGTACCAAAGTTGTACTACCAAGTCGCCAGTTCTCATCTTCCAGCTATCCAGCTACTCCGCGTACTACAGTTGTACGACAAAGTCGCCAGTGTTCATCTTCCAGCTCCACAGATACTCCGCGTATTCAACTTGTACTACCCACTCACCAGCTCTCATCTTCCCACTCCCCAGCTACTCTGCGTACTAAAGTTGTACTACCAAGTCGCCAGTTCTCATCTTCCAGCTCCCCAGCTACTCCGCGTACTAAAGTTGTACTACCAAGTCGCCAGTTCTCAGCTTCCAGCTCCACACATTGCTCCGCGCACTCAAGTTGTACTAGAAACTCGCCAGTTCTCAGCTTCCAGCTCCCCAGATACTCCGCGTACTCAAGTTCTACTACCCACTCGCCAGTTCTCATCTTCCCACTCCCCAGCTACTCCGCGTACTACAGTTGTCCTACCACGTCGCCAGTTCTCAGCTTCCAGCTCCCCAGCTACTCCGCGTACTAAAGTTGTACTACAAAGTCGCCAGTTCTCAGCTTCCACCTCCACAGCTTGCTCCGCTGCATTTCGCGCACTCGGCACGCGCGATCTCCGCAGAGGGTCGCGCGGTAATTTCACACATCGCACTCTCGCCTGCATTTCGCGCACTCGACACGCACGATCTCCGCAGAGGGTTGCGCGGTAATTTCACGAATCGCGTTCTCGTCTGCATTTCGCGCACTCGACACGCACGATCTCCGCAGAGGGTTGCGCGGGCACCCGGCGCGCGGCGCTCTCGCCTGCATTTCGCGCACTCGACACGCACGATCTCCGCAGAGGGTTGCGCGCGCAGCCGGCTAATCGCACTCTCGCCTGCATTTCGCGCACTCGACACGCACGATCTCCGCAGAGGGTTGCACTTTCGGTTGACGCTGTTCGTCCCACCCTCCGCCTTTAAGAGAGAATTTATAAAGTGGGGAATGTCTTTTCATTAGGACATCTCCCGTGCTAGTTTTCCATACTCATACTCACACTTGCCTACTCACTGCACACTTGCATACTCATTGCCTACTCACTACTCACTGCATGCTTGCATACTCATTGCACGCTTGCAACTCATTACTTGCATACTTACACTTGCATACTTCCACTTGCATACTTTGACACTTGCATTGCATGCTTTGCACTTCACTGCTTTCGCTCTTCCACTTACACAGGGCTACGTCTAGCGTTCATGTTGTCCTGCAAGTGTGGTGAAAGTGTCAATGTCTAAATGTAAGTGTCGAAGTGTCAGTGTTCAAAGGATTTTCCGGAAGAACCCTTCGCAATGCTTTCGGGAATTGTAAGTTAAATTTTTGAGGGTGAGGGTCCATGCTTCTTTCTACCTCACCCTCAAAAATGTAACTTACAATTTCCCTTTCGGTTGATCACAAGTTTGCACTGTGCCGCATTTTCCCTTGGAAGTGTTGGCATGTAGCGGCTGCGCCCGAAGATTCTGGCCAGTGGGAAAGGCAGTCTAATTGTAATATTTCCTGCTGGGTACACTAGGTCAATAATATAACAGAGTGAATCTTGCTCAAGTGAAACGCAAAAAGACGCCTTTCAATTCATTCAGGACACAGTCTAAGGAGGATGTGACAGGGCGCAAACAAAAGAGGCACATTTCGTAAAAGAATGTGTTTTCTTTCATCTTTTTCTTGGACAAGGGTCATTGGAGACTCTACTAAGGTAGTGCGTGCTGTGTGGGTTTTCTCCTGGGCTGTGCCTGCCTCAACATTTATTGGAGGACCTCACCAATGCGGGAGCGGGGGAACTAATTGTAATATG